GATGGATGGATGGATGATGGATGGATGGACAGTGCTGTGGTGTTTGTTGGTGGCACAGAGGTAGGATAAGCTGCTCCTTCCACTGACTGTGACACAGTAACACAAACACACCTGTGTGAATCAGCTTCTGTCTGACCTCACGCTGTCATGGAAACACACATAAAACAGCAGGAGAGAGGCTGAGTCTGCAAGTAGCACACACACACACACACACACACACACACACACACACACACACACACACACACAGTAGCTGCAGAGCTGTCAGTCACAGGTGTTTTCATGCTTCAGGTTACTCGATCACTGAGACCATCACAGTGCCGGGTTCACGGACCAAACACTCGCAGGGGTGGAGGAAGTCCTCGGATCCTCGCTTTGGCAGCGAGCCTGATGAGTCAGTCACCCCCAGCTCAGTGTTTTTCCACACAAAGGTTAGAGGTGTGCAGGGCCATGCTGCGGTTTTCATCCAAACCACAGCCTTTTGTTCAGCCTAAGAGGAGCTTTTAGTCTAACCCTAACCAGCCGGTTAAGTAAACACTTAAAGTGGAAAAAAGTGAAACAAAGATCTCTTCACCTGTGAGACTGTCACTACTGACTCCACCACAGCATCCAGGCACTGAATACAGCGCCTACTAACAGTCGGAATAGAACTTTGAGCCAGGAAACGTGCAAAATATAGACGTAAAGAGGTGAGTGAGGTGAAACTCTGCTTTTCATGCGTCCTCTCACAAACCTGCTGGTGTGGATGTTGTTGGTGAATGAAACACATCTGTCAGCTGGAGCAGCTGAAAGTGTTTTTACTGTGGCTGATTATGAACACACTGTCACTCCAAACACACTCGTCGATGCTTTTTTATCAGCCTTGTAGCACTAGCAGCTGAAAATGAGCGTGTACAGCTCTCTCCCAAACTGCAGGGGGCGCTGTGCTGTGGCAGGTTTGTCTCCTCACCATAGGTGTAAACTGGTCCCTGTTGGTCCGGCTGGAAGGGGGTGGTCTTCAGGACCTGAGGGATGGACAGCTCAGTCAGAGCGGGGTCGGGGGAGGGACACAGTCTGGGCGTGGCGTCCGAACCGGGTAGCAGCACCAGCTGCCGCAGTAAACCCTGAAGAAGAGACAGAGCGGTGAGAACCAGCAGGACGGACAGTTGGCTGATCTGACCCTGATCAGAGACTCACGGAGAAGCGCCCCCTCCACCGCCCCCTGCTCCCGACGAAGAACCGGGACCCTCTGGTGCTCAGATGGCTGGGGAAGGACTGGACCTGTTTACTGGGGGACAAGAAACCACTTAATGCCATGAAGTGGATCTCTATTGGTCTCTATTGGTCTCTATTGGTCTATGTGGTGTCAGCTCTCACAGCTCCAGAGGAAGTCCACAGTCGACAGTCAGCGTGGCGTACGGCCCGGTGACAGCCAGCACCACTGTGTGCCAGCGGTTATTGTCCAATCCAACGTCCTTAAAAGTCATTCGGCTCCGCCCACCAGGGCCAGGGGATGTGGTCAAGAAGTGGAGGCGGTTCTCAGACACTCGTAACCCCAGCAACAGCGAATCAGATCCCTCCCTCACCACAGAGAAGATGTACTCATTTGTCTGGAAGCAGAGAGAGAAAGAACACATTGGACTGGAACAAACTCGTCCAGAGTGGGCTGAACTGGGCCAGACTGATCCAAACTGGACCAGACTGGGCTGAACTGGACCAGACTGATCCAAGTT